ACCTCGCCTTCTCCCGCTGCGGCGCAGACGCTGTCCAGGGTGCTGAAGGGCGGCTCGGTGCGAAAACTCCGCCGTGCCAAGCAGCTGGTGCTCGAGCTGGGCGAGGAGGCGATCCTGGAGGGCTGCGTCGGGCCTCCGGAGGAAGCAGCTGTGGGGCTGCTCCAGTTCAACCTCAGCGAGCTGTTCAGCTGGTGGATTCACCACGGGGAAGGGCGGCTGAGAATTCGCCTGATGCCCGAGAAGAAGGCTTCGGAACTGGGGAAGGTGGGAAGGCTGTCCTCCGCAATCCGCGCCTCCCAGCCCCGCCTTCTCTTCCAGATCTACCAGACCGGTGAGCAGCTCCGCTAGAGCGAGTTGGGATTTGCATTTTTACTCACACGGATTTGTAACCACTGTTAACTAGCCTCTATTCTTCTGCTTTTCCAACGCCTCAGCTTTGTAATCCCTGTTTCTTCATCCCTAAAGTTAGACCGTGTTTTCTTATTTTGTCCCTGAGCACGGTCACTCCCCAAGGGCCAGCCTTTTTTTTTTTCAACCAAGTTGGGAAAAAAGTTTCCTGCTCTTGGCGGAATTCCTTCTTTTACCGACTTACAAAGGATTCAACACAAAGCTCTGGCCCCTAGAATGGTTGAAATGCCCCTATTACTTTCAAGTTCAACTTAGTACAGTACTAGATAAAACTATTTGCCCCTTCCTCTCCTTCGTTCCTCCTCCTGACCACCACATCTTTGGAGAATGTAGTAGAATTTCTTAGGGAATATAGGATTCCTCTTCATATTGAATACTGCCCAATTGTAGCCCTTTCCCAAATGCTGGATCGCCCAGGAATCGCCTTTTCTTTTGTTGACCCATTCTGCTATCTCTCCCCACTTGCTGTCTTCTTTGCACTCGGATTCTCATTCTTTTTAGATGTCTTGGGAGGGCCCCGTAGGACTTACGGAACAAGAGACAGGAAGAGATATAGTGAGAAGGAAGAAAGTTGTAAAAATTGTCTTGCCATAGGGAAGTCCTTCAAAAACCAGGGGGAAACAATAGTTAGCTTCTCTGGTTTTCTTTTCCTTCTCCCTCCTCCTTTTGCCTCCTGTACTTAGCTTGGATGTCTGCAACAACAGCTCTTGGTGATAGTCTCTGGCAGGCCTGTTTCACTGCAGATCTCTCTGCTGGAGATGCCTGAAATGAGGTTTCTGTTTCATTTGTTCCCTGTTTGTTGCCATATTCACTGAGTTGTGTGTGTGTGTGTGTGTGTGTGTGTGTGTGTGTGTGTGTGCAGGCACTTATTTGTAACTCTTCCCACAGTATCCTTTCACTGGAAAACCAGGTGGTTTTGAATGGATGTTTCTCTTATAAGATTGCTGGGGAAGGATTCGTGAATAAAATATGCAATGTAAATGAATTAGACAAACGTAAGAAAAATCATGTTTTTTAAAAAGCCTACAGTAATTCCATTGAGCAAACCCAGCTTCTTTTCTATCATTCTCATCATCAGAAATAAATGAAATTCTTATGCTCCACTGGTTACTAATGTCTAATATTAATTGGATAGGAACCATTGAAAAAGGTCCATTGTACAGCTACAAGTATCTCTCATGCTTGTTCCAACACTTACATACTCCCACACACATTCAAGACTCTTGTGCAGCAGAAATATTGAGAAGCGATGTTCCCCAGTCATTGCACAGAAAATATGCTAGTGTGTAGTCTCCAAGGAAAGCAGCGTGGATGCATTTTTCAGCACTGGCTATAGTGGCATTAGTACTTAAAATGACCCTTTGTGATCAATGCTGAAATTTACATTGTTTCTACTAAAGGACAGGGTCCAATGAGTTTGATTGTATCATCAGTAGACAGAGATGGGAAGCTGATCATTGTTGTCCTACACAGGATAGTTTTGTAAAGAACAGCTGGGCTTTAATGTCATTGTGGCTTCTGTGGTCTATACATGAAACATTCTCTTTTAGTATCCAACGTTTTTATAATAAATATAAAAGTTGCTTCTTTGTAAATTCAGATTTTCTTCCACTTTTATGCCTTTGATCATCGCTGGAGTTTCCTCATCACCTCTTGTTAAAGACCATAGGATCCAACACTATTAGGTGTTGTCACATGCTGGTGACAGAAAACAGAGGTCCTTAACTTGCCAGTTAAAAGCAGGCATGTTGCAAGGAGCTACCAGTCACAAAGCATAATGTATTTGAAGAATATACTACTTCATTATAATTCTATTTGGGGTCTTGAAGGTGCTGAGTGGGGTAACTTCATGTAGAAACAAGCATCCTTCCTGTAAGAGCTGCTCTGCTATTGGATATAGGGAAGTCGTGAACATCCCAAGTCCTCCTTAGTTACACAGTCCATTTGGCAGCTGAACCAAGCTCTTATGCATCATTTGACACATCTAGCAATGCTGTTTTCCAAAAGAGCCAGGATTCTGCCATTAAAAAGCTAGAAATTTTGGCCAAGCATTTTTCAACAGGATTGGGATCAAATGGTTATTGATGGGATCAAATAAGACACTAAGTGTAACTGGATGAGCTCCCCATGACCTCCAGAGAGACAGACAGCTTATTGAAAAGCACTTCAGGCCTTGTGGTGATCACACTTGGAACAGGCTGGTTTCTCCTGTCTCTGAGGACAGATACAATCTTCAGTTATGCAGCTGGCCATGCAGGGCTAGTCTTTTGCCTTACAAATGCCTCCAGCCTCCTTCAGATACAGTTTCCATTGCAGAACTTCCCATGTAGCAGACACACCCTACTCTATTATGTTCCGTGTTTGGGGGCAGTGCATATCATTGTTTCATTCATTTTTTTATATGAAAATTCAAGCTTAGGTTCTGCCACTTGGATTGATTTTGCTATTTGTCATCTTTGGGGAAATTAGATTATTCTTTTTTGTTTGTTTGGTACTGGGGATCGAACTCAGATCCTCCCGCTTGTGAGGCAGGTGGCGAAACCACTGAGCTAAATCTCCAGCCCTAGATTATTCTTTTTATATTGCCTCTGATTTATAGATATGGTATAAAACCTTCTGTCGCATAGGATCTTCATTAAACAAAAAGAAAAACAGGTGAAGTTCAGCTACTTCTTCCTGCTTTCGCCCAAGGGGCTACAGTCCAATCTAGAAGACAACAGTCATGCTGATGGGGCTATCTGTGGGGAACAAAGAAGGAGATGGTCATTCTACCATCTCTTGTAGGGAGGAGCCTATGGCAGCCCATTGTTCTCAGACTGAAATAGCTTCCTAAACTTGAGTAGGACCATGACTGAGGACGTGGCAAAAATGGAAGAGCACCAATTAGGACAAAGGAAAACTTCTTTACTGCTTATGGCTTTGGGCTGTCTGAAAGGACAACAGAATGCCAGAAAGGCCTTATATTGAATGACATGCAAAGGTTTTCCTGTTCAGGTTGCTGTGAATTGCTAAACAGAATAAGCATTTCAAAGTCTGCAGCAGTTCCCTGAGCACCCATTCATAGAGAAGGGGTAGAGAGGTTGTTGCTGGGATTGTATGGATGGTGATATGTCATCTTAATGCAGCCCAAATAATAGAAAGGATGTCTTCCTGAGGACTAGCGCATTTCCCATTCCTGTGGTCTATATCCTGGTTTTTTGGGATCTGCTTCTGTCATCCCCCACGCAGAGGCCTACAGGATGTCGCAGGGGTAGGAGGGCCTGTTACTCTGTGAGCACTCAATCCCCACCACAGGCAAGGGGGTGCATGACTTGGGGTTTTATATACATGAAGAGTCTAAGCAACTTAAAGTAAATGTATGCAATGCAATGCAGTGCACCGGAACCTTGACCTCATGTATCTGTCTGTCCCTCTACCTTTCATTCCAGAGAGGAAGACAGGGTAAGTAAAGGAAGATCTAGAGGAAATTGGAAAAGGGATATCAGTTACTGGAGGTGAATTGGGAGAGTTGGAACTAATCCAGAGAAGAGCAGAGAGCTGATTTAAGAATTGAAGGGACTGATTGATGATGAAAGATGAAAAGAATTAAATATATACGGCTGGGCTAAGTGGTGATGAAGGGAAAGCCATGGCAACAATCTACAAATCTCTGAGGAGGGAGACTGGCAGTGAAGGAGAGGGGTCATTTAGTGTGGCCCTTTGAAGTAATGAGATGATGCTTGCAGAAGGAAACTTCAGGATAGATATCAAGGAAGCTTACTTTCAGAAACTGATATTCCTCTGACTATGGAATGGAATTCTAAGGGAGCAGGGAGTCAGGTGAGATGTAGGTCAGACAAGCCAGATCATTCGTAATTAAAATGTTCTATATTTTCAAATAGCAAGAAGCCATGACATGCAGGAGAGCTGGGATGGGAATGGAGGAGGAATCAGGATTTTTTCTGATATAGTGTGAGAATTTGGGGGCATTGGTATTTCCTGAGCAAAAGACAAGAATTGCATGTATGTTTTTGAAGTTGGTGGGAAGCAACTAATATTCTTCTCAAATGTTACTAGTAGTGAGGAGTGGTAGTGCACAACTGAGATCCAGGATTCTGGGACACTGAGGCAGGAGGACTGCAACTTTGAGCCCAGACTGGGCAGTTTAGTGACATAGTAAGATCTTGTCTCAAAATAAAATAATAATTTTTAAAAAAGGGCTGAGATATAGCTCAGTGAAAAGACCCTGGGTTAAATCCCTAGTACTGCCACCTAACTAACTAACTATTATTAGTAAAAAAAAAAAAAAAATGAAATTACTGGATTTATCCTTCCTTACCCCATATTAAGGACAAAGCTTTACTCTGGGGTATGAACTGTGTGTGTGTGGGGGGAGGGTGCATTTACTGAGAAATCAGGTGTCTAAGATACACCTATAGATGGAAAGTTGAGTCATTGGGCAGAGCAGAAGGTATCTCAGGTGTCGAGAAGATGAGATCACTTTTAGATTTGGTGGACTCTTACTGACTGCTTGAAAATTCTTTGAAATGTTGAGAATATACATGGCTCTTAGAAAAATAAAGTTCATCCACAACCAAAAAAACATATCACAACTTTATAAAAGAGAGAAAAGATTTATGAGGGGCTTGTGTGGCCAGTGCAGGAGGAAAATGTTATCATGAATAAAAATCGGTGTTTTGGGCTGGGGATTTAGCTCAATGGTTCCACTGCCTGCCTTGCAAACACAAGGTCCCAAGTTCAATCCCCAGTACAAAATAAATAAATAAATAAATAAATAAAACAATTAATTAATTAAAAATGGATGTCTTCATAAGGAAGTTGGGCTGCTGAAGGTCAGGAGGGACTGCGCCAAGGGTGGAAGAAGAAAAGATGGAAAGTTCGGCCAGCAGAAGCTGCAGACTGCTGCCCCCACTTGATGAGAAT